CAATTGCTTAAATTGGAAAATTTACTGCGATGATCATCCTTCACTTTCATCTACAACCGCAGTTCATATATGAATTATTTCATATAAACTTCACAAAATTGACATTTTTGGAAAAAATATCTTAGCCTTGACAAAGGACTTGAGATACCAATGATTTGAAATTCCAATAAACCAACATTTAGAAAAATAACGCAGGACGTCATAACTACGACGTAAGGTTGCCAATAAGTCTATGATCTACAAGAAAGATAACTTAATACAAAGATATATTAAGCTCTCAATCACAGAGTTCCATTTTGTATATTTTTATTATTATTTCCAATAATTTTTTCCCGCAACGCAGATTTCCTTCAAAACGGGTCTGACTAAGCTGAAAATTAGTCTGCCGTTAATTATTCACTTAAAACATGCTGCACTCTAACGACAGTCATAAACTCATAAGATAAGTTTATTATACCACAGTCCAGCACAGCTGTACAAGCAATGACCAGTGAGAGTGCGCGCCATTATACACCGTGTTTTAGTCAATGTGGTGATGTTTTCAGAGTACATTTAAACGTAACAGTCGTTAGTAGTTCCCTACCCTTAAGAGACAAATCAGTTAAGAGTTCTTTTCTCTCCTTTGCTTCCATGAAGACCCTCCTCAGTCTCCCTAGACAACAAAGCGAATGTTACACAACAAGCACAACAGAACAACAGTCACGACATTGACGGAAACTCTAAAATTGGTCAACAGCTTCCAGCCTCCCGCTTCCAGCTTAGTAAGAGTTTCCAGAGTTCCCAGAAGCGAGGAAATAAAATAGCAGTGAATTAATTGTATATATAACATCTCAGATTTCTACAGATAGAGTGCATGGTTGAAGTGGGTTGTATCAAGGTATGAAGAATAAAGGCCATTCCAGCCCTAAGGAGAAGTAACCTGATGGATTATGAGTACCGACTCTTGGTCCCAGTTTCTGCAGCATTAAGTGGCAAGGAATTTGCCCCTCACCCCTGATAGGATGCTCAGCCCACACTAGCCATCAAAAATAATTGTAATGGCCGACCCTAATACTTCCGCAGTACCCACAATTAACACCCATATTTAAAAGGTACCAGAATCTCATTTAGTGTTGTGAAATAATAATTGAACTGTAAGAAAAATATGTTTTATGAAAATATAGCGGAAAGGATAGATCAGCGGGTCAAAGTGTTGAAAAGAAAGATTGGTAAAAAGAGAAAGGTCATCTTAACAATTTTAAATATTAGTCTTTTCTTTAGTTGATTGGTCGCGTTAAATACTTTAGGCATCTTTCCAAAATTTACGATCAGGAAATTAATTTTCGAGTGCTGGGTGCCTCGTTTTCGAGTCTTGATCAAGCTTCTCAGTTTGTTTGAATGCTTTGTTTTCGATACAACCAGATTATGAGGGCGGAATTTTGTCATTCCTGGCTGTGAATTTTTGCTTTTCAGACGGTTAGCCGGAAGGCAAGGCGATATCGAGACAATCTGTAACAATCACTTGGTTTAGTTATCATCTGACTTCAACTGGCTATAGAGGAAATTGCGGACCCACTGAAGCGAGCATTGTAATTAGTAATTTGCCACGGCAGTTAATAAATTACTTTTTCGCACCGTCAAGTTATCAATCTAACAGGGAAGTAAGAAACACAAACAAATAAAACAACAAATCAGTATACGGGGGGTTTAGGTGTTAAATGAAAGGGTCGACCTATTTTGTGTTTTCTTATCTGCTAGCTGATGAAATTTCCGAAAGGATCTAGAACAGGATAACAAGATTATGTGGGGGAAAATGTTAGGTCTCGCAGAATATCTGATCTTCCTTTCCTTCCTGTAACCAAGCTGATGGGCTTTAGCCGATGCACGTGAGTTCTGTGCTGCTCTACCAAATAGCAAGAGGCCATTGCAAATTGCTAAAAAAAAAAAACCGCTAAAAACTATTTTCTAACCGTCATTGCAACAACTGGACAAAGCAAAAGTTCGTCGCGGGCTCACAAGAAGAAAGAAAGCTTTGAGGAAAGCCTGCTATAAACATTTAATAAAAATACTGAAGAAGAGATAGTTGCGCTGTGACACGGAACACGAGCAAACTGATAAAGGATCTATTTTTAGATTAGCGTTACCTCATGAATGAATTAAAAAAGACATTCAATTTTGTGGCATTACGTCATGTTTATCGTGACAGACATCCCACTGAAGTCCCTCCTTTTGTCTGTGAAAGTTATTAATGCTAAACCCACCCGATTGTCATCTTATTGTTTACATAGGCAAATGCCTTCTGCGTTAGAGCGAAATTTATTGTACGGGTAAACAAGCTTATTTTCTCGGATTTTGCTGTTTCCAGATCACCTCAGCATTAGTTTCCCAAGCAAGTACTAACAGCTGCGCACAGCCCATCCTTCCTTGCAGTACCGTCTGACAACTTAGGATTGAATTTCAAATAATTTATCACAAATTTCGCCTGTTCATTCGCTCGATCGCCTAGATTACGGGTAGTTGTTTGTGCGACGTTTCACGAGGCGGCCATTTTGTGCTTGTTCCTGAAAGCAAACGGTAAGTTTCTATTGTTGATATTTTTCTTAACCCCTTATTGACTCCAGTGTCGTCTCAATTCGACTGATATTTCACCGACGGGTAAATACGAGATTATTCATTGTCTTAGTATGCTGATTCGATTCTTCGCGCAGTGACTTACCACCATATTTGTCATCAAGAAAACTGAATGAACTCGACTAATTCTCATACTATCTACATCTTTTCTTAGAACCTAGCCATAAACTGTGGAGAATTTTCAACTCAGCAATGGCCAGAATCCATCTGTTTATGTGTAGTTTCCTCGTATCTCTTGTACTTTCAAGTTCGACTACGAGTAAGTACTTGTCATTAGAACTATTAATTCAACTGTCCACTGCGCCTTTGAACATTGTATTCAGAAGAAACCTGGACTTATTTTGACTATCTAAGCGCGTTTTATTTCAGCTTAGGTATTAGCCATTCTCAGCGTGAATTTATGTTTTTTGGGGGGGTATCACATCATCACCGAACGCTAAACGAGTTTATTTTGAATTCAGTATGATTTCAGCTCCGGAAGTAACGCAATAATACTGTTGAACACAGACATGTATGTAAATTTCATAAATTATGAACTCTTTTATGTAGATATGACTTGTTTCCTCGAGGAAACAATTGAACTATTACAGCTCTATTCGCTGACAGATGCCATGTTATATCTGTTCCTAACCTGGAATTTTGTAGGAATAAGTGTCTATCGCATTAGTGTACGTGAAATAATTTTGTTATTTCATATTGAAGACAAATACAGCAACTTGTTATCTATAAACCAGTCAGTTAATCTGGTTCGGAGAATGTCTTTGATGGGAAGATAATTATTTTTTTATTATTTTTGAAAGTTACTCAGCAATCGGTTTTCCCATGAGATAAGATCACAAGGAGATCGTGTCGTGAAATAATAATCAGCCATTTGGTCGTATCTCATGTTGACTTTCTTCCCATTAGCGCTAGTCTGGTGAACTACTGTTGCGTAACAAAACAAGGGGCGCAATATCTCATAACTGAGTTGTCAGACGAGAAGGGAAAATACGGAATACGCGGTAGACTCAAAGTCCTCCCCCGTTCAAAAAAAAAACTACTACCCAAAATTTAGGGAAGTGGAGAAGATGTAACGAAAACATGACCATGCTGTCAAAAATTGGATGTTATAAGAAAGAATCCCTTTGTCAATAAGTTTCAATGGAATTTTGATGCAAGCTTTTTCCCGTTTACGCGATAGCAGTCAATGCTGTGTAGAAAAGTGATGTGCTTTGAAATGGCGGGTCTTAGTGATTTGTTCAGCAGTTTTATCGGGATTTTTCAATGTCTCGGTATTTGTTCTTAATATGGTGAAACTGATATTAAATAATAACGTTCAGAGCAGTTATATTGTATTTGCTGAATGAGATTGAAAATGCTTTGCGATAGTCGAGAAAAAGGTTCACTGTGTCACTGTCGTTATTTATTATAGCTTCCTTGGCGTTCAATATATTTAATCGTATTTTTGCGGATTTCATGTTGAGCCGGTATTGAGGAAATAACTGTTTATTTTATGGATCATTGTTTCAAGAGGGAAGTGGATTGAAGATTATTTCAAAACAAAAATTAAATCCTGGTTTTTATCCTTAAGGTTCCAAAGTACAAACGTGGCCTGCAAAAGACCGGTTCTGCTGATTGAAGGTCAAATCTATCTGACACGTGGTTAGAAACGCTCATTGTTATCTGTGAAGAGTCAGTTTTTTTTTTTTCAGCCAAGTCTACGGTATATGCGCACTGAGTAAACATGACGGAAAATTCTGGGTTTCAAGGAATCAGTGAGGTCAAACAAATTTGTCCTGTTAAGTTGAGGTGTTAAAATGACGGAATTCGATGAAATCGGCAACTGGTTTCTACTTCCGCAAGTTCCGTATACGTAAAAAAAATATTTATTATTACCTTTTCATATAATATTTAGCTGTTCATCCAAGTCTATCAGTGTCATCAGTAGTCAAAGCTTCCAGTTCCACTCCAACTTGTAAGTATTGTTCCTTATTTGTTGAATCCCTCAGTGATTGTTTTTTGGGCTACATTCACATCTCCTAAAGGTTTAGGAACTCGGTCACCTTATTTTGGCCATTATTTTGGCCACGTACAAAATTTCCTTTACATTGAAGGAAATCTGAAAATAGTAGTTCACTAAGATAGCAAAACACCAAAAGATAGTAATAAGCCATAAAGGAACGAAGATGGTTAAAGTGCACCTAACCCCCAAAATTTTTTTTCGCTAGAACGAATTTACTTGTTATTTGAAATAGTTCTGCGAAAAAATTTTTGGATTCCGTTAAATCCTTGATTTTCTGTGCCACGACGAAATCTCGAAAATAGCTCCAAAACACCGCCATTTTGTTTCACGACCGAGTTTGAGGAGAATGGGTCCAGCGGCTCTTGT